AATTCCCGGCAACGGAATACGCAGAAGATCATTTACGACAAAATTGGCACGTTTGAGGTAGTCTAAAACGAGTTTTACAACAAGCCAGCGCTTTGCGACAATATGAGTCGCAAAGTTCTGGACAGAAAACTGATCTGTTGAGACTTGTTGTTGGAGATTTTTTTTTTTTTTTTTTTTGAGAACAGGTGAAAACTAATGCGCCCGCGGATGTCATCCATAAAATTAAGTCAGTGTGGCCTAATAATGTTTAAAAAATTTTGCACATATTAAACATGGACAACCAGAGGTTGTCCCGGTGGACAGTCTTATTTATTAGTCCTCGTTCGGTCCAAAAACGGACTTATAATTCGGTCTCCGTCCGTCCATGCGTCCGCCCGGAGTCATATCTCAGAATCCCTTGGACCGATTTTGTTCATTCTTTGCATGTTCCTAGTACTTTATGTGGGACATATGCACATGCAGTGGTTTAGCGATTCGATTCAAAATGGCCGACTGGCACCCATCTTGTTTTTTGAAAATGTTGTATTTTGGACATGCTTTGTCAGTTTTCATTCAAACTTAATACATAGATTATACATGTTAGGATACATGTCCATGACGATTTATTTCGCAAATGGATCAAAGATGGTCGACTGGCAGGCATCTTGTTTTTGTTTTTTTATGCGGTATCTTGGACGTGCTCTGTCAGTTTTCATTCAAATTTGACACATACATGTACTTTATACATGTTAGGATGCATGTCCATGACAATTTGTTTCAAAATCTGGTCAAGGATGGCCGATTGACAGCCATCTGACTTTTTGGCCTTACTACTATATTTCCACAATTTATGTACCATTTTCATTCGTATTTGGCACATACATCATACATATCAGTGTGTTTCATAATCAGATCAAAGATGGCTGAATAACGGCTGTTTTTATTTTGGCCATATTATTATGACACGAAACACGTGTTTTGATGTAAATAAACAATCGTATACGCCACTTGGAACTCAAGTTTCAAGGACACGCTCGCGACAACCCCTCCTCTTTAATATGATGAGCCCAAAGAGAACTTAACGGGGACTGTGTCATTTTCAATGACTTGTTGATGAACTCATGCATATTAATATTTTTGTACAGAATTTAAAATTTTTTTTTTTTGACAGTGAACTGTCACCCTGGTTATTATGGTGAGAATTCTGTATGTGAGCTCTGTTACCATCAAACTTATGAAGCTAATTTTGCATCCAGCTCGTGTACGAATTGTCCGATGTTCCACATGTCTGATGTTGGTGCAAAGTCATTAGATGAATGTTCAGGTGAGTTTTCCAAACATTCATGCATAATAATTGGGTGTAATTTGCATAATTTCTTTATTCACTTTGCCAAGTGGTGAGTGAATTGGTAGTTACAACAGTTGCAAATAAGATGTTGCTTGGATGTCATAAACTGCTTGTCAAGTTTGTTTTTATTTGTAGCTCTGACATGCACAGACTAATTTCAATTAAATTTCTTACATAGGCAAGCCATGTATTAATCTCGGTAGATATATGGTTATTTTTTAGCTTGCCTGTATCATCAAAGATGGAAGGAAAAGATATATTAAGGGGAAAATTGCTGTTGTTCTTTTACGTCGTTCTTAACTGAAAAAAAGCCCTTTTAAACACACTTACTACTTGGGATCTAATATGCATATTTCAAATTTACTGTTAAATTCGCCAAAATCAAGTATTTCCACCATTTCGGAAGTGACATGCAGTTACTAAGATATTAAAAACAGAGTATTAAAATTCATTATGCTATTTTTAGGGATCCTTCATTTCTCTATATCACCGGTATGACATAAAAACAAATTATTGTGACAGGTAAAATTTGCAAAGTCTGAAATGATTTGTAACAGGGAAAATCAATGACTAAGTTTGTTTAATTTCTACATTCTTTTCAGCTGGGATTGCTATTTATATTTGCCTAGCAGTTGCAATTGTATTGGTTGTAGTCATCTGTATTATTGTGGCTGTCTACCAGTAAGTCTATTATAATTGCTTACCAATCAACATAATGCTTCATATCATCCGAGGCCTGTTTAATCTGAAAATAAAATACTTTTGACTTTATTTTTTTTATATATCAGTTTGTGTACAGTAATTATTGACTCTCATATGCGGTTAGTGTGTCTGTGTCTGTTTCACTGATATCTCAAGAACCATTTATCAGATTTTAATAAAACTTGGTACATAGATGCTCTTGGATAATGCTCAGACCTGATTAGTTTTAGGTTTAAATCTGTGCATATTAATGACCTAATTAAACAATTTTAAGCATTCCCACTTGTTTCTCAAGTACCATTCAACAGATTTCAATAAAACTAGGTACATATTCTAGGATAATGCTCATACCTGATTAGTTTTTGGTTGAAATCTGTGTACAAATGTATATAAAAGACCTAATTTGCATATAAATTAGCCAATATTTAACTTTTTCACCTATATCTCAATCACTCATCATATTCAATAAAACTTGGTTCATACATGTGGCTTAGGGATAAGCCATATCATGCTCAGTTTTGGGTTGAATTTTGTGCTTACTAATTACCTAATTTGCATAAATTAACCAATTTATAGGAGTACCACTGATCAAATTTTAATAAAACTCCGTACATAGGTGCTTTTAGATAATCTACAGATCTGATTTCTTCATTGTTGAAATCCATGCATATCAATTATCTGTTATTAGTTTAATGTGTGTTTCTTAATATGCATAACTGCAATGTACCAAGTACTGTTGCAGGTAGGGACATGCAACCTGTGCTATAATTTTGTGGTCTTACAAGATATATGACCAAAATATCATATAAAGATATATAACCAAGTCATCATATATGATCATTATTTCATTAAATATTTATATCTGTTATACCATAGCTACTTGACATCACCCTAATCAGATATTAGAAACACATGTGCTTACTGTAAGGACAAAGACAAGTCTATGTCCAAAAATAAGACATATTTCAAGTATTTTGCATGCCATAATACAGTGTATCTTGTTTGTATGTCATGCCTCCAATACCTTCAGCACATGTGGGTTCTTTCTAAGCTTTCTTTGATTTTTAGCTATGCTGTCGACGAAGTCATGCAGAGCTTATAGTATTACTGATTGGCCGTCGCCATCAACCAACTTTACATTTTCGACTTCTTCTTAAAAACCAAAAACTGTATACATGTAGCTGTCAAACTTTCTAGGAAGGTACCATATGTGGACCTCTCTCAGATTTGTTCATTTCGTGATGATATCGTCATTTCTCTAATTTTGTTGAATAGTTTTGTCATTTTTAGTAAAAAATTATATTTTCGACTTCTTGTTAAAAATCGCAAGTCCCATTGCTTTGATATTACATATATAGGTACCATATGTGGACCTCTCTCAGATTTGTTCATCTCGTGATGATATCTTCAATTCTCTAATTTTGGTGAATATTTTTGGTAAAAAGTTATATTTTCGACTTCTTGTTAAAAACCGCAAGTCCGATTGCTTAGATATTACATATGTAAGTACTACATTTTCATTTTGTGAGCTATAATCAAGATGGCCAATTGGTGGCCATTATATATTGGGTTACAGATGTGTGTACATGTTAGTTTTTAGTTAGTTCAAGTTCAGGCGCAGGCTGAAAAGGGGACTATAGTTTCTAATTTCTGCTTTCCGTCCATCACGTTTCTTCTCTCAGAAATTTTGCAGCAGATATAAATGAAACTTGGCAGGTTGATGAACAAGTCTCTGTTGAATATGCATATAATTTTTTTTCCAGATCTGAAGATCCTAAGTGGGTCTTTTTCTCAAGATTTTCACAACACTGAGAGAACAACTGAGCATGCTCAGAATAAATAATAATTAAGTTAGATGTAATGTTAGGGTTTTCAGTGATGTCAAGACCTTGATCTGAATCATTGAGAGAAATGAACCGCAGTCTGTTTTTATGAAAAATTAACGCTGAAATCTAGAAAAAAAGTGGTCAGAAATGTTGTTGTATATTTCACAAAGTTGAAGATCAGTGAAAACACTTTGCAATTACTGTTTATAAATCTTGGCCAGGCACATTGACACATGTGGTCTATAAATATAGCTTCAGTTGTCATATCTTTTCTAAGGTCTATGGTTCATTTGCCATGTTAGCTTCAACACTCTGTCGAGATGGGCTCTGATGACCATAATGTTTGCATATGCAGAAACATCTTATACCACAAGAATTCCTGATCTAAAGGCTTTGGGAAACTTGTTGTTCTACTATGCAGCTGTCATTGACCGTTTGCTGCCAGAAGGTTACTACAAATCATGTGTTTCCTACTACCTTAAAATACCTCTTGCCTGTTGCCCCTGATGAAAATGCATAACCCCATAGATAGGATTAACAGCCTGCAATCCCATTTTTGTATTGTTTAGACGATATGTAAACAATACAAATTAATATCTTGAGTAATTAGCAGTAACTAATAAACTTTTTTCTGTCAAGTTTTTATTTATTTATTCCAAGAGTGATGGGACTATGTCATTCACAAACTCAACACAGTGTAACTTTTTGTTCTTTTTCTGTTTCATACACAGGATTATTATTAGATGTTGTAAAGGAAGCGCTCACTATATCCATCTTCAAACTATGAAAGACACTGTAGCAAACTCTCTAGCTACTGCTACAGAGAATGTGAAGACAGCGGCTGATGACCTAACATTCAAAGCTGAAATGGCCACTGTTGAGGTCAAAGACAAGATTAAGAAATCGCGGAACCCATTCAAGAGAAAGAAGAAGAAGAAGCAGAAAAATATATTCTCATTTTTTGACAAAAAGAGTAGCCAGGATTCCAACGTGTACTACCAAGAAGGTTACTATGATGAGAAAAATCTATTTCATTACTATGACGACTCTGCTCATTACTTTGATGAGCATGGTAATCAGTTTGATATTGATTTTGAGCATCAACATCATTTTTTCAACCCAAACGAGAAACCACATCACCCTGAAGACGGTTTAACAAATACGGAGCTTCAACCTTCATCTGCAGGGCGTCCTGTTCCTCCTCCACCTCCTTCATCCAGACCCCAATACCCCACTGATGAACAGACTTCATCAACTGATGATGTATTCCAGTCACTTCCTCCACAGAGTCCCCCTACAGACCCACCTGCATCGGATTGGTAATGCATGTTTGATGTGCTGCTATTTCAGTTGTCTCTCTTCGAAAGACAATAAGGAGATGTAATTGGCGGTTGAAAATCCGTTAAAATTATCAAATAACTGCAATGCTGTTTGATATGAATGTCGGTCATGGTAACAAATTAACATGAAGCATGATATAGTTAAAAGATTGTTATTAATATATACATTAAGACACAATTATGTGCAATCTATAATTAGGCCCTGGCCTAGTGAAAGCATGTCTATCGTATTGTGTTTTTCAAACATGATCTGATCTGTTCATTCTTCTCAACTTGCTGAATACTCGTGAAGAAATGATGTAGAATTAAACTATACTTAATATTATTTCACTATAAAAAGGATATTCCCTTACACAGAAAACAGTAATCACTTTAATAGGGGAGAATAAATTAGTGTATGCTTTATTAAAAATGCACAGAAAAAAGTCAAAGATTGCAAAATCATTAAAATCTATTTTTCAGACGTTCGATCAGAATCGATGATCTTGAATGCAGTATTACATTGCTGAAATGTACATTGTCTTGGATAACATACATCAGCTAAATCAAGTGCACCTCTTCCAAAGACATGCGCAATAAATAACTTTACCAGATTGTGTAATTACTGCCTTCTTACATGGCTTGTAAATCAGCAAGTACCTGCACAAAAGTTGTACTTGTAAGTAAATTTTAGTATATCGCGTGAATTGTTAAACCCAAAAGTTTGTTTTATGACCCAAAACAAACATTAAGGATGGTTTTCAAAATAAAATGGTTTTATGTATCAGATTTGCTAAATGGCAGACAACAGGAAACTTGGTAAAATACATTCATTAACATAAATTGTTTTCATTCACATATTTTGTGCCCAACAAAATGTCAGTAAATATCATATGTTATATGAATATTTAGCTTTTGCTTGTATTTGAAAAGCCTTTTTACCTTGCCCATATCATCAAAGATGGAAGGAAAAGGTATATTATAGGAAAAATTTCTGTCTGGCATTGTCATCATCGTTGTTAATAATTGTTATTGTGTGCACAATAACTTCACTAATTCTATTTCAAACTTTATCAAATTTGGTCACCTTATTCATCAATATAAAGTCTTCCCTGAGTTTGAACAACAGATGTCCTGTATGAAAATATCATGCAAAGATTGAGAAAATCTGATAAAATATTTTGACTGCTTCTACTTGACTGATCACTGGTGATGTCATAATTCCAGTGGAAATAGTCATAATTCCAGTGGAAATATGCATTGTTGTATGTGTTCAATGAAGCAAATCATTTATCTTGTAATAATATGTTGGTAATGTATCTCCCAAATCTCATGGGATTACTAGACTGGGTTTCAAAAACCAACTCATGGAGAGAGTTGTTGCACAGTCTGATACACATTTGGAAACCTGCCAATAAAATCTTTACAGAAAACAAAATGTCAGAAAATCATTATAAGCACTCCTACGAATTGGGTGCCAAACTTGATCAATACCTGAAGCCAATAGAAAATCTGTTAAGTTTAAAGTTATCAAATCAAAAACAATGCAAAAATACATAAAAAGCAAAATGTTGCATCCACATTTTGAAAGGAAAGTTGTACTCAAATATTCTGTGTTTGGAAAACAGTTCATTCGACAAATAACAATTCACAGAAATTTGTTTTAGCTATTAGAACAGAATAACAAAGCTTTTATAATACAAATTTAAAAACTCACTTCAAAAACAGATTGCAGAGCTTGCAACACGATAGTTATTCATAGAGGGCATTTTTTTACTTTTCAAATAATACAGTAGTCACACAATGAATATAATAAGGCAGTTCATATTTGTCTCAGTGGATTAATTTTTGATAGATGCCTGTACAAAATACTTGGGCAAAAGCCAGCTAAAATTTTCTGTTATCTTGCATGTTTTATGAATCTATTCACGTCTAAATGCTAAATTTGTTTTTATACTAAAATATCTGAATTACTTTGAATAAAGCTGAAAATTATGTACCTTAAAATAATTAAACAAATTAGGCACCAATGTTTTTGTAAGATATTTACATCAATCAAGGACATTCAATAGACTGTTTTCCCACTGTTGTTTCAATCCCAAAACGTTTGTATTCATTTTAGGAGTATTATACCTAATCTAATGAAATGCGAAATTGATGAACTTTAGTTTTGTATAGCCAAATTAATGCCAGCAACATATATAGGAATTCCCATTTACAGCCAAAACAAAGTCAGCTTGGACTTTCAGTTGTGTGACCAAGGGCGATAGGCAAAAGTGCGTGGGTTAATACAATACTAGAGATAATACATGAATATTTTTCTTCTTGGATAAAATAAGTTACATGTATTAAGTAACATTCTAGAAATGATAAAACAGTACTACGAGCATTACCGTCAGTGGTGACATGTTTTGACTCAAAGTCATACATGTATTGGTTTTGTGTCTTGGCGTGCGTCTAGAGCGCACAAGGCGTGGTCGCGCGCTTTCGAATGTAGGACGCTTTCACCCCCGCTTTTCTTAATAATAGACCTTATAATCTCCTTCCCAGAGGCCTTTGCGTCTTACGCAATAGTGAATAAGTAACGCATATCGAACTGTGCGGAGTTCGTGACGGGATATGACCATTGACGCTGTAGGTTGGCGTTCTTTCTACACCTTTTGTGCTGGGACAGCGCTTCCGGTGACGACACAACGGGGTATAACACGACTCAAGCTGACCAATAGGTGTTCGCCATATAGAACACGTGACTTGCAATTTTTCATCCAATTCTCGTACCATTGTTTACGTGTACCATGATCTTTGCATTATTATGCATGTCTGCCTTATATATAAAACAAGGTACACACCATGTTCAATCATTAAAAAACATAATTCACTAATCTGGGCTCAATATCGTATGTTTGCTGTGAAATACAGAAACTTTAATAATCGCTGTTGTTCGGTCACTCGCTGTCACTAGATGCATAGCTGCCGTTCTGTGCATATTTAAAGGGCGGTAGTCGTCACGCCGCACCCTGTTCGATATGGGACTCATAGCGACGTATACAACGCGTGTAAAATACATTGTTTATTTTCATGAAATCCAAACACGCGCTGCGCGACGACCACTGCACTTTAAATTTAGTTCGATGACGGGTGAAATAATCTTACTGGCAATAAAACAACCATATACCTTCGCAATACTGCATCTACTAGTGCTTATCTTGCACTTTTGCCAACGCGTTGACCACGCAAACGCACAAACGAGTGACATTTCCGTATACTGAATACGTTGGCAAGGAAAAAGAAACATGAACACAACGTGAAGGCAACAATCTACCAGTGAATGTATGTTTATCAATAATCAAACTAAACATGTTATATACAGCAAGCGGACTACCCACCGTATGAAGTGATTTACAAGCCTGATTCTGGTCGGTAATTTGAGGGCGCTTACACTGATGGCAAGTCTGTTTGGATTTCGCGTTCACCCCTCGTTTACGCAATTCATATTTATTCTCAAGAATTTTTCATCGGAATCGCAACAGACTGCAAGCAAGTCTATAGTGTTGTTGGTAATAGTTGAAAATGATATATCATCCACGTGAATCTGCTCATATTTTCAACAGCTGTATATATCTAACTTCCCCATCGCTAAGTTTCCTTGATGGACCACGAGCTCTGTTTCTTGTTTGCACGTCATCGTGTTCACAAAATCGCAGACAATTATTTGTAAGAGTGCTCTTTGAAATGGCAAATTGTCTAAATATTTTATCGATTACTCCGCGGGGTATATAGCGTGTTCTCACATTAGCATAATTTTCCTCGAGTTCACGAATAATAAGCTTCCGTAAGTCGTTATTCATCACTTTCCCACATGCACATTTTTGACCTTTGCTGCTGACTTTTATTGCACTCCTGTTTTAGTAATATGTATATGTTGTTGTTTTTTTGTTTTTCTAAACATCGAGTTTATTTTTGATTGACATTCAACGAGATCGTTTGAATTTTTAATTTGATGGCTGGTTCGAATTTATCTATTTTTACAGTGATCAATGTTGCAGTCAAGTTACTAGTAATTACAAACCTGATTTACATTTTCTTGTCATGTTTTTTCTTTTGTCAATTTATTTAATATAAGTGCGTTGGGAAATGTCATAATCATATTGCGTGAGTGAAAGAGGCTGGTGCGACTGTGTCACAGCGTATTCTATTTATTTCCAACGCGCGTGGTCGGCGCCATTGATTGCGTTTATTTTGTATTTTTATTTTCAAAATGTATCACTGTCTGCGTTTGTTTTGTTATGTCGCGCAACTGAAAGTCCAAGCTGACTTTGTTTTGGCTTTAAGTTCGAGCTAACTGTCTGGAACACCATTTGTACATCTATAACTTGATAACTTTGGACTGAACAGATTTTCTATTAGCTTCAGATCTTGATCAAAGTTTGGCACCCAATCCATGGGAGTGCTTATATTAATTTTCTGACAAGATTTTATTGTAGGTTTGTAAATGTGTATCAGACACATTGTGTGCAAACAATCTCTCCATGATTTGGTTTTGAAACCCAGTCTAGTATTCCCACGGGATAGTTTGGGAGATACATTACCAACGATATTATTACAAGATAAACTGGTGATGGTTGTGAGCCATAACTGACTCAGCAAAAAGACTGCTGTGTAATACAAGGGAATGTAAAAGGAAATGTATTGTAGTGTTACCTCTGTGTAATCTGCATTAACCTTCACTGTTAAGGACAATATGGAAGTAGAAGCAAGGCTTGGCAAATTTTGCGAAATAGTACTTAGTTAGAACTACCAGACATGATAAACGGCAAGTGATATTTCCAGAGATATAGTTGGAATTGAAGCAGAGGAGTGGCCTATTAACCCATGAAACATACTCGCACATATCCGTACATATCATTCTGTCTTATTGTGTTTGGTGCAAAGCTGTCATATACACAATCATAACTGGACATGGTTTCAGAACGGAAAACTGCTTTATTACTGTAAATCAACAAT